TTTTTATTTAAATGTGGGTGGTGCTTATTTTTGTTTTTTGGACTTTTTCACCCAAAGTCGGAGTGGTGCTTAAAATCGAGTGGTGCTTAAAATCGGGAGAATACGGTAATCCAAAATTTCAGATCGTTTAGAATGATTGAAGTTATCGTTCCAAATAAACAATAAGAAAATCGTTCAATTAGAATAATTAAATTATCGTTCTAAATGATTCAAAATTTCAGATTAATCTGAAATTTTTGATTTAGTTCAGATTTTTACCAGTTTACAGTTCAGTTTAGTTTCAGATTGGCATTTTTAAGATTTATAATTCAAACTGAACTGAACTGAAATTTTCAGTTCAATTTCAAATTAGCCTATAATTCAGACTGAACTGAACCGTTTAGAGTATTAGTTATTACTAATACTCTTAATAATATTACAATCAGTTTTTTAAGATGCTTATGAGTAATAAGTGAAGCAATATTTAGGGGTATTAAGTAGAAGGTTTATTTTATATTTAGTTTTAAAAGAGTATCAATTAGTTGACAGTTTATTTAATAACTATAACAATGAAGTACTACCTTAATTGACACTCTGTATTATACAATTATGTTAAAGGAATTAAACTAAATTATTTAATAAAACTATGAGTCAGATACACTGTTAAGCTAAAAGAAATTGTCTTCTATTTATATAAAATGGAAAATATAAAGTTATTAAAGATATAAAAGAAATAAATATAATAAATAAAATATATGAAATAAATAAAATATAATAAATATATAAGATAAATAAAATAAAATAAATAAAAGAAATATATTGTATAAAAGAAATATATGCTATAGATGACATAGATAATATAGATGATTTCTTAGAAATCAACATTATTCTTTAGATCATCATCATTCATGTCTTTTTCTGTATAATAATAGAATATAAAATAAGTATCAGGGTATTTTTACACATAATCAGGAAGGCTTAGATGTTATCATCTTTATAGGATCTCAGAAAGGTAAGTGGCTGTTGTACCCATATCGTCAAATTCATTCAGGAATTAAACCTGACCTTTACCCCTAGTGACAGCTCGATTGAATGATGCTGTGGCAGTGTAATACAGTCTATTATCACTATAGCCACGCGTAAGTAGTACTCAATCTACTAATTACTGGTTAACCACTTCTTTACTTGTGTAAGGGCCCCTGAATTTGAAGACATAAGACAGTACCTATTACAAGCCTATCAGCGAAGGCCAAGTTTCTGTCGATCTCTGATTTCATATGTATCCACTTGTTCTTCAAAATCTAGTATTTAGGTATAATCAACATCGATCAACAGATCGATTGACCAGTTTCTAACACATATTAGTATATACGCCTACATATTCAGTTACATATGAAATTCTTATGAAAATCATCTAGTTTTATGCCTCAGCTGAGACTTGAACCTGTGGCTATTGCAGTATAACTCACAATAGGAGTTCAGTTGTTACCAACTAAACTAGAAATGCCAATCCTGATGAGTGTACACATATTACACAATATAAAATATATGCAAATTATTACTAAAAATAGATAAATCATAATAAAAAGTAAGTTTATATAAGAAACTGATAAGTGTATAGTATTAATGCTTTTCTATCATATCATAAGTTGAATTACAATGTGTTTTAATATTTAAAATTAATTGAAGACTTTTAATTTTTGAAACAATATATTAATGATTAAGTTTTTCATATCTTTGAGGTATTGCATAAATTTTAACTATTAATTTTCTTAACTATTAATAATTAGTATAAATTAAATAAAAAATATATTTTTATACTTTTTTAATTATTTTCATATAAGCTTTCTAAATGAAATCTAAAGGTTTTGCAAGTTGTTTAAATGAAAAAAAAATAAAATTTAGCAAAATTATATTAAAACCTTATTAAAAAATCTGCAAAATTCTAGAAAAGGTAAAACTATATCAAAGCTTATAAAAATGTAAAACAATATCAAAACCTTAATAAAAAATTAGTAAAACTATAGTTTAAATATTTTGCCAAATTCAAAATGAGTTTAAACAAGTAATCTTACTTTTATATTTTGATTGTATTTTATATTTCTAATACATTTTTTTCTTTTTTAATTTAATTTCTTTTAATATTAAAAGAGTTTCTTGAGTAATTAATAATATAAACTAAACATTATATATATTGGTATTCAGAATTAAAAATTATATTATCATTTAAAAAATAACTTTCTAAATTAGTAAATGCAATATTTATATTATATGTGATATTTAATATTAATTAAAATATTATAAAATATATATAAAATATTTTATTAGAATAAGATTCTTTAAAATGATAAAAATCAAAAAGGATTTCTTTAAGTTTTCAATTTTTTGTAATCCAATATGCTATAATTTCAAGAAATAGAAATTTGATTTTTAAAAGTCTAATAATTAAAAATAAATAAGATTTTATCAAATATTTCTTGTAATTGTTTTTTAATATTAATTTTTTCATTATTATATACTTTAATAATATTATTATTATACATAGTATCAGCAAAACAAATTTTGATTTCAAAATTAAGTCTTCTTATTATTGCTTAAAAAAATGTATTTTCAACAATAACAAAAAATTAATCATCTATAATTATATTTAGTAAAATCATTTAAACAATCTTTTATGTAAATGTCTATTATTATAATATACTTTTACTATATATTACATAAATATTATAAATCATAAATCGTGAATACTTTTTACATTAGCTAAATCATTAAATTTACTCTCTTTAAATTTAATTTTTAACATTTTGAAGTAATTTTAAGTGTTTATTATAAAAATATTAGATTAATTTTTTTTATTTTCAAAAATCTTTTTTTAAAGCATATCAAATAAAATGATTAATTAAAAAAAAAATTTATTTGATCACCTATAAAATAAATTAAAAATTTTTTTTCATTATATGCTTTAATTCGATATAAAAATTGTATTGTAAAAAAATTCATTATCAAACATCTTATTTATTATATATAATATCAAGGTCTATTATAAAAATTTAATATAATAGAATTTAGTATCATCTCTATATGATACAATTGTTAAATGAAAATATAATATTGTTTTAATTTATTATTTATCATCATCCTTTTTAACATCTCGATATTCAGCTTCATTATTACCGCTACTTTCATCATTACCACTTCCACGTTTTTCAGATTCACGCTAAATTATAAATTTAAAATTGTGATTAATACTTTTAAAAAAAATTATATAAAATCGACAAATTAATTAATACTTACCTTCTTGTATACCATTTCAAATAATTTTAAACTAGCTAATTGTACTTCACCAACTTTGGATTTAATTTCTTCTGCTTTAATAGTATCGTCACCAGTTTGTGCTTTTGCTACCATTTCTTTTAAAGATTGAATTTGTGATTTAATATTTTCAGATTCTGTTGAGTCCAATTGATCCTTATATTCTTCTATATTCTTTTCAGTTTCATGAATTACAGATTCTGCATGATTAGATGATTCAATAAGTTCTCTCTTTTCACGATCTGCATCAGCAAAACGTTCAGCTTCAAGGATCATTTTCTCGATTTCATTCTTACTCAAACCAGAAGAAGCAGCAATAGTAACTTTATTGTAAAAGATAGATCAATATTTTAGATTCAAATAATGAAAAGTAAAAATAAAAATTTTTTTTTACTTACTAGATTGATCTTTTCCAGTAGCTTTATCTTGAGCAGAAACATTTACTATACCATCAGCATCAATATCAAATGTAACTTCGATTTGAGGGATTCCTTTAGGAGCTGGCAAAATTCCTCCTAATTGGAAGTTTCCTAGTAACTTATTATCACGAACTAATTCTCTTTCACCTTGATAAACCTTAATTTCAACCCTTGTTTGGCCATCTGCGGCAGTTGAAAATACTTGCGATTTTTTGGTAGGAATTGTCGTGTTTCGATTAATTAGACGAGAGAATACTCCACCAAGAGTCTCGATTCCAAGTGACAGTGGCGTTACGTCTAATAATAAAATGTCTGTAACTTCTCCAGCAAGTACACCGCCCTAATATTATAAAGAAAATACTCGTTCATAATAAGATCTATAAGACATTGAAAATAATTTACTAGAATAATAATTACCTGAATTGCAGCTCCAATAGCGACAGCTTCATCAGGATTAACACTCTTTGAAGGTTCACGACCAAATAATGCTTTTACCGTTTCGATAACCTTTGGCATACGTGTCATACCACCGACCAGTATAACTTCGCTGATTTCTTTAGTTTCAACATTAGCATCTTTCAAAGCCAACTTACAAGGTTCAACAGTTTTATCAACAAGTCCCTTTGTGAGAGCTTCAAATGTAGAACGAGTAAGCTTCATGTTGATATGCTTAGGTCCAGTAGCATCAGCAGTAATATATGGAAGGTTTATATCTGTCTATATTTGAAACAAAATATAAATGCTTTCTTCTTATATATCTTTAATTTACCAAATGATTCGGATCAATTACCTGTATAGTAGATGAAAGTTCAATTTTAGCTTTTTCAGCTGCTTCGCGAATTCGCTGGATAGCTATGTTATCCTTTGATATATCTATTCCTTGCTGTTAAATAAATATAGACATCAATTGATTAAAATTATGACATAAGATATTTAATAAATTCAATCAATCAATACAGACCTCTTTTTTAAATGAATCAACCAAATATTTAACCAAAGTGCTATCAAAATCTTCACCACCCAAATGAGTGTTTCCATTTGTTGATTTTACTTCAAAAACTCCCTTTTGAATTTCTAATATACTGATATCAAATGTGCCACCACCCAAATCATAAACTGCAATAACTTTATCACCAATTTTATCTAGACCATAAGCAAGTGCTGCAGCGGTAGGTTCATTGATCACACGTAATACATTAAGATTAGCTATTTGTCCAGCAGCTTTAGTAGCTTGACGTTGAGAATCATTGAAATATGCAGGAACAGTGATGACTTTTTTTTTTTTTTTATATATAAACAAAAAAAAAATAGGTTATTATAAATTGTTTTATGCAATAATTCATGAAACTAGTATTTTGCATTTCGTACCCGCATTATCCGCAGATTTTCCCAAATAAGAACCTTTTAAATTAGTAATAAAAATTAATTTACAAATGAATTATATTTGATAATTGATCAGGCTATATGAATTCTTACTTGCAGTTTCTTTCATTTTTCCAACAACAAAAGCACCTATTTGTGCAGGGCTATATTTCTTTCCTCGAGATTCTAACCATGCATCACCATTTGAATGTTCAATGATTTTATATGGAACATGACCTATATCTTGTTGTACTTCACGATCTTTGAATCGACGACCGATCAATCTCTTTGTAGCAAAGAAAGTATTTTCTGGATTTACAATAGCCTATAATGAATATTTAAGGTGGTTACTATTTTTGATCATATATGCAAACTTCGTTACACCGCTTTGTATCACATGTCACAGAAACTGAAAGTATAAAAGTGGGTGAATTCCACCCAAGTATTCAGAGAAAGGTTTGTTCCTCCAATCCCTCAAATGTTTCTCCCTCGAATATTATAGAAATAAACCACTAATATTCCATCAGTTTTTTTTTTTTTTGACATACCTGACGCTTAGCAGGTAAACCAACTAATAATTCACCTTCTTTCGTGAAGCCAACGACAGAAGGTGTAGTACGACCACCTTCAACATTCTCAATTACGCGAGGTGTCTTTCCTTCCATAACTGCTACGCAACTATTAGTTGTTCCTAAATCGATCCCAATCACACTTCCTCGTACTTTGGAGCTTTTAGAATTAATAGAGAAATAATTGTTAAATTTAATTGATGAATAATAATTACAAGTTAAAAAGCAAATAATCTATCTAACCTTTGAGCTCGAGAAGAAATATATTGAAAATTTGCATTTAATCCCTAAGGTGACCGCAAATATTTGCATTATTAAAATTATACAATTGAACTTAAGTAATTTTGCGTATAACTACCAAACGATTTCCAAGCGAGTAAGCTGAACGAGAAAGGAACGAGTGCCTAAGCTTTGAGTAGTACATGTCTAAAAACCTAAGTGAAAGGTTAGCAAAAGTACAATTAATTATCGAACAATGAGGGAGGGACCTTCACCCAGAATCAGGAACGTTAATAATAGTAGAAAGTTGGTTTCGCCGATTTTTTTAGATGAATGATAAATCATCAAAAAATTACATCAGAATCCGACCACGTGATTTTGTAATTTGTCCCGAATTAGTTGTGGTACATTTTTAGAAAACTGTACGTCTAACAATTTTATATAAAATTCATATGGTCAAATGAGGCATCAATTGACTAATTCCAAAATTGCGCAGATATGCAATAGCCCGAAAATTTTAAGTCATTTTGTGTTTTTTAACCAATTAAATTTAAGACACGTGATAATGATTTTATATATTTTACATATTAAAAATAAAATTAAACACAAAATTTATAAAGCAATTTTCAATTATATGATCAGAAATTCATCTATGATCTTTATATTTTTTTTTATTGCATATTCAGCCTTATTTCTTTTCTATTTACATTTATATAATACTAAGTATGTTAAGCAAATTTTTGAATTGTAATAAGATTTACTGATTCTAAACTTAAAGAAATTATTTGTTGTAATCCTAATCACAATTTTCTCAAGCATAACACTTTGTTGCTTCCTAATATCATTCAATAAAATTTACTTATAATAAAATTTAGGATAAAAATACATACATAATTAACTTCTTTTATCATTTTTTGAAATGTATCCTTTTGTATAAGAAAGTCAGATTATAATGATATAACAAGCTTTAAATAATATTAGTTCATGTTAAATCATTTTAGATAGCTTTATTTTTGCATAAACTACAATCTATCATATATTTTTTATTTCAAAGTCTTTTTTCATAAAGAATTTATTTCATATCCTTAGAATTTTCTTGAAATTCTAATATATGATAATTATTAAAAAAAACTATTTTCTAATATTGATTATTTGGTTTTACATTATGCTTTTCATTTTATTTTATTTTTCTTCAGGTTTAAGATTCATTTAATTAGATAATAATGCATCAGAATGATATGCTAAATCAGTGTATAAAATTTAGACCAAAAGTTATGTGCACAAATTGTACTAAAAATAGAAAATTAATGCATATATTACATAGTATTTTTATAATAATTTGTCTATTTTTTTTTGCAACTTGTACATGCTAATAGTCTACACATTATTTCCTTGAATTGCCCTCCCCAAGTATTAATGCTAAACACAATTATACCAGATATCAAACTCCTCTTAGCAAACCTCAAAGTTACAGCTGAACTGCGTGAACATAAGTTCAAACTCACAAGCATACAAGAAGCTCTAGAAGCCCGTGTTGAGGACTTCAAACACAACCCGTCGCGGATGCTTGACTCAGCTCTCAATCGAACTAAAACGACCATTTTATTAGATCGATGCATTGATAATTCATCCTCACTACGCGGCTTACTATTCGAAGAACCAGATGTTAAAAAAGAAGTTGCCAGACATTTTCAACAAGTTGCAGGCTCTACACACCGGACCAAAGAAATCCCTGAAGACTGGACTCATATATACAATCCCATAGACTCAATCAATTCGCACATCTACAACGAATTGATGACCTCACCGTCAGTAGACGAATGGTACAGAATCATTGATCGGCTTCCCAATGATAAAGCTTCAGGACCCTCTAAAATTTCTAATGAAATGTTGAAACACCTTGGCCCCTTCGCAAAGAAATGTTTATGGTATATCATCTGTGGCTGCCTGCAAATCTCGTCAATACCCCATCGTTGGAATTTGGCATACATTTA